CCTCCAGGCAGTGTTAGAATATTTATAACCACCAGGTAAAATAAAGTTAGGGGGGGGTGTCTAATCTTCACGTCCACCGAGTCTTCTTCTCTTACCTCATATAATAAGACTCATCAGCCTCAACATAACTCTCACGTGTTAATTAAAGGATTGAGTCAGCAATCTATAGCCATTAAATATTAATTGAACTCTTTCTTCAGCTCGAGGGTATGAAAGGTAACAAGTGTCCTGGGATGTTCAAAGGTCATCAGAGAGTAGAATAACTTAAGGAATTTCGACCTTAATGCCGGATGTGGTTTAACACTGTTTAGTCCTCGCTGGTTGTAATTATAATGCAGCCGACATTCTGAACCCAAGGAAAAAAAACATTGAAGGGAAAAAATATTTCCCAGAAGGAGACTGTAACCCGAGAGGGAGGGGGGAGGGAGGAGGGGAGGGAGGGAGGGAGGGAGGGAGGGAGGAGGAGGGAGGGAGGGAGGAGGGAGGGAGGAGGGAGGGAGGGAGGGAGGGAGGAGGAGGGGAGGGGGAGGGAGGGAGGGAGGAGGAGGGAGGGAGGGAGGGAAGGAGAGGGAGGTTGGAAGGTAGTTGGGAAAGGAAGGAAGGAGGAAAGGAGGAAGGAGGGAGCCGAGGACTGTGAGGAAGATGTGGAAGGATTATGGAACGGAAGGATGAGGGAAAAAATAGAGAGGGAGTAAATCAAGAGGAAACGAGGGAAGAGGCATCGGGAAGGAGGAGGGAGGGAGAGGGAGGGAGAGGGAGGGGAGGGAGAAGGAGGACAGGAGAGGAGGGAGGAAGAAGGGAATTGTAAGTTGCTCGTAGAAAGTGAGAGGAAAATTTTGGTCAGGAGTTTTCAGTGAGTGAGGGAGGAGTGTGTGAGTGTGTGTGTGTGTGTGTGTGTGTGTGTGTGTGTGTGTGTGTGTGTGTGTGTGTGTGTGTGTGTGTGTGGACGTCTTCTCTCTCTTAATAACTATGACGCCTCCCTCATCTAACCTACCCACCCTCCCATCACCCTCCTCCCACCCTCCTCCCCATCACCACCCCTCATCACCACCCTCCTCCTCATCACCACCCTTCCCCATCCTCCCCCTCCCCTCCTACCCTCCTACCCATCACCACCTCCCATCACCCCCCTCCCCATCACCACCCTTCCCCATCACCACCCCTCCTCCCCCATCACCACCCTCCTTCCCATCACCACCCTCCTTCCCATCACCACCCCTCCCCATCACCACCCCTCCCACCCCTCCACCACCCCTCCCCATCACCACCCTCCTACCCATCACCACCCCTCCCATCCTACCCTCCCATCACCACCCTTCCCCATCACCACCCTCCCCCATCACCACCTCCCCATCACACCCCTCCCCATCACACCTCCCATCACCACCCTCCCCATCACCACCCCTCCCATCTCTCCCATCACCACCCTCCTCCCCATCACCACCCCTCCCCATCCCACCACCCTCCCCATCACCACCCTCCCCATCACCACCCCTCCCCCACCCTCCTCCCCTCCTCCCATCACCACCCCTCCCCATCACCACCCTCCCCATCACCACCCTTCCCCATCACCACCCTCCCCCCATCACCCACCCCTCCCCATCACCACCCCTCCCCATCACCCCTCCCCATCCTACCCCTCCCATCACCACCTCCCCATCCACCCCTCCCCATCACACCTCCTCCCCATCACCACCCCTCCCCATCACCACCCCTCCCCATCACCACCCTCCTACCCATCACCACCCCTCCCCATCACCACCCCTCCCATCACCCTTCCCCATCACCACCCTCCCCATCACCACCCTCCCCATCACCCCTCCCATCCCCCCCCACTCCCCACCTCCCTCCCCCCATCACCACCCCTCCCCCATCACCACCCCTCATCACCACCCCTCCCCATCACCACCCTTCCCCATCACCACCCTCCTCCCCCATCACCACCCCTCCCATCACCACCCCCTCCCCCATACCACCTCCCATCACCACCCTCCTCCCCATCACCACCCTCCTCCCATCACCCCTCCCCATCACCACCCCTCTCCCCATCACACCCCTCCCCATCACCACCCCTCCCCATCACCACCCTCCCCATCACCACCCCTCCCCCATCATCACCTCTCTCTCCCCCCCATTCAGGTATTTGACTTGGCCAACACAGTAAAAAACCCTACATGGGCAAATGAGGTTTATTTACATTGTATATAACCAAAAGACTGTCTATTGTGGGTTTCGAGCGTTTTAGAGGCGGTTCTCAGGTTGAAGGAGGTCAAACTTCGCCATTAACTTCCCCTGTTGGTGTTTTGTAATGGGATCAGATTGCGTTAAATGGTCATGATGTGGTGTTTAAGTATTTTCATTTTCAAGGATTTAATTTATTTTTGATGTTATTTGTATTATTTCTCTTCCTCTTATTTCCTTTTTTTTTATCTATTTACCTTTATTCTCTTATCTGTCTTCTCACTATTCATTATCTTCATCTCCTATCTTCCCTCACCTC